AGCTGGCCATTGGTTCCCATTTGCAGTGCCAGGTGTGAGGGGCTTGTCCCTCCCCTGGCGAGTCCGTATTCACCGCCCGCCAGCCGGAGACATGGCGCTTTTCCCCCTGGTCTGTTTCCCTTGTGAGCGTTTTGGGGCGAGGGCCCTCTGCACAGCACCTTGGGGGGGGGGCCCTGTTCTTGGCTAGACGTTGGGTGCCACAGATGAGTAACGACCAGGATGCATAACAAGGATTCCGTTGTGAAGCTGCATACACAGAACCAGCCCCTCGCTCCAGACCTCAACTAGGATGTGCTCGAGGGAGTTCGGCTTTGGGGAGTGGAAGGGATTGATTGGCCCAGCAATGCTGAGGATCGATTATTTAGCTTGGCTAAATGAAGACTAAGCCCTCGGTCTTACCTACAGCGCATTGTGGACGAAGGGGTCAACCGGGGTGAAGTTCTGTGCGGGATCAGAAGCGAGAGGGCTGGGGGGCCTAGTGGGCAGAGCACGGGGCTAGGACTCAGGATATCTTTGTCTGGCTCTGCCATTGCCCTGCAGGATAATTGTGGGTGAAGTCGCCACCCTCTAGGTACCTTAGTTTCCCATCTGTGAAACAAGGATAATGATTCTACCATCCTTTACGCAACAGCTTGACAACTATTGAAAAGTACCATGTGACAGATAGTGCTTCCCAAGAGGGATGTGAATGATTAGTTGCTCGTACCCCCACTTGCTGCCTCTATCAGAAAGAGGCAGTGGAGGGAGGAAAAGGTGTGGAGCCGGGGGGCTGCTGGCTCCATGCGGCGCTGCCACTTTGAAACGCTGCGGGGAGTACGGGGCCAGCGGGGGACTGCTCGAGTTCCCTGCTGGCCCCGTGCTCCCTCAGGCAGTCGCTACACTTCAAAGGCAGAGGTGCCCTTATCGACTATCCGATTAGCCGATTCATCTAAATTTAACATCCTTAATACCAGCACTGAATTTTCTGAGGCCAGATCCACACACCTGTGTCAATATAGCGGTGTCACTCAGGTGTGAAAAATCCACTGACCGCTACTGCCTCTCCGGGGGTGGATCATAGCTCTCTCCTGTCAGTGTAGGAGTGTCTTCACTAACTTGCTACAGCTGTACAGCTGCAGATTTGCCTGGTTTCAGTGTCCTCTGGCCTCAGCCAACTGCACAGCCTGCACACCAGTTGTGCAGTTCCCTGGGCTCTGATTGGCTGTGTAAGGTCTGATTTGCATAACAGTGGTGTGGTTGTTTCCCAGAAACTGTGATTTATATAATCCTGGGAGTCTGGACCGTGACCTCAGCTTGCCCATAACAAACATGGCTGCCTCCGCTTCTGGCTACCCACCCATCCCTCTCCGCTTCCTGGCCATATTCCCACAACAAACATGGCACCTCTTGTTTGGCAGTGCACCCTTCCCTCTAACCAGTGAGCACATATAATCCCCCCCCCACACACACACACCCTCACCGAGAAGTTGTCTTTAAGCTGTTGGAGTGGGGAGTGTGAAACAGCGCAGAGGCAGTGCGGTGCAGTGGTTAGCAGAGGGCATGTGGCTCCTAGATTCTTTCTGTTCTTTTGTCGCTGGAGACAATGTCAACTTAATTTCTGCTCGTTGAGTTCTCTCTCATCTCCCTGTTGTTTTACCTCCTGACGCCCTTTGCCTGAAAAACACTGCACAGTGCTCAGTCATGTATTGAAAGGGTGGTGGGAGCCACGTTTGGTGGGGACGTACGGCTCACAGGGAAGGGGGTGAGAGGAAAGAAGGTCAGCATAACAACAGGCGGGGGTGTGTGAACCTGGGAACAGCCTTATTCTGGGCTAATCTGCGTCTCCGAGTTTATTCAGCTCGGGGCCTGGTGGTCAACTCGTCTCAGTGTCTCAGATACGTTGGCAGTGGTGCAGCCTATGAGCTTGAAAAAGAATCCACAGGCTAGAGATGCCAGAAACAGCCCCTCCACCCCGCCCCATGTGTGCAGGGGAAATTAACGACATTCTTCCATGTAAGGATGTAAGAGTGTCATTGTTTAAATGAGTAACTGATAAACGTGAGCTTATCAGTTACCCAAACGGCTACCTACAGCTCCTGGTCTGGTTCACAAGGAGCTGGCTGCCACCTCATGCTGCAGGGCAGCAGGCAGATGCTGGTACACCCAGGGAGCTGGTTTAAAAGCCTGCTCCCAGTGCACATTGGCTCCCAGGAAGCCGACTCCCATCAAACAGGAGATCAAAAAGGGTTAACCCCAGGGCATGCCTATGAGCAGGCTGAATGCAACTGTCATTCACCTACGGAACTCACTGCAGCAGGGTTCTCACCGAGGCAAGGCTCAAGAAAGGAATTAGGCATCTACGGGTAAGGAAAGCACCCACTATCTGATTAGTCAGTTGAACAGTAGAGGAGGGCTTTGCCTCTTCCTGAGCCAATTAGGAGAGATGGTGGCAGGCAGGAGCCGGTGCATGCCAGGAGCCAGCTTTTAAGCCAGCTCCTGGGGATCTGGCTGCCACCCTGCTTGTCACCATCTAACTTTCAGCGGTTACACAGTTAGCTTCCGGAGCACCAGTGGGTTGAGTAAGCCTTCCGCAAACAAATCAGAAGATCTCGCCGCGTTCCCAGCACCCGGCTTGTATTTTGGACTTGGCTGTGTTCTGGCTGAGACCTGAGTAGATTTGAGGGCGTTTCTGAGCAGGAAGCAGTTGAGCAAACCGGGTTTTCTC